GGCCCTTTTGACCCAACGAGCTCCAAAGACTATCTGAAATATTCGTTTTTGTGATGTACAGAGGAACCCCGATCTCTGTAACCCATCTTGAGGAATTAGGTCGTATAACAAATTTTAGGGGGCTTCGGACTTGATCAGTGTGTATGTAAACCATCTAAAGGATGTGTGACATGAACCTTGAGTAATACAAATATAAACAAACCGCCACAAACTGATTGGTTTATCAATGAATGATAATCACGGGAGAAGGTGAATCATAGTATCTTTAAACATAATATCAGTTTAGTTATCTTATTCAAAGGGATTGATCTTCTTTATCGCTTTTTGATCCTGATTTGTGATATTTCAGTAATTATCTTATCAACTAGCACTCCCTGCTATTGTTTTTGTTTACCTGATTTAGTGAGATGACTATGTATGTTTTTATATGCGCTATTGTTTTGAGTAAGCTAAGCATTACGAAGTTCTGTTGTATTGTACAGGTGATTACGTTGCCCAGTTTGCTTCAGCTGTGCAGATTTAAAAATCTGCAAAGTAGGGCAATGTCACTGTACTAACAAAGAATGCCCCTCGTGTTACAAGGCGATGTCCCTTGACGCTGGGGGTCTGCCAACTGATTTCAGAAGGCTTGAGATGACTTTTGAAGGCTAAATTATCACAGACCCAAGGGAGAGGGTATGACCCAATGGCCCTCTCCCTAAATAGTCTACCGATTCTCTCCCTAAATACTCTACTGATGCTTTCCCTGAATAGTCTACTGATTCTCTCCCTGAATAGTCTACTGATGCTTTCCCTGAATACTCTACTGATGCTCTCCCTGAATAGTCTACTGATTCTCTCCCTAAATACTCTACTGATGCTCTCCCTAAATACTCTACTGATGCTCTCCCTGAATACTCTACTGATGCTCTCCCTGAATAGTCTACTGATTCTCTCCCTAAATACTCTACTGATTCTCTCTTAAATACTCCACTGATGCTCTCCCTGAATACTCTACTGATGCTCTCCCTAAATACTCTACTGATGCTCTCCCTAAATACTCTACTGATGCTCTCCCTAAATACTCTACTGATTGACTCCCTAAATACTCTACTGATGCTCTCCCTAAATACTCTACTGATTGACTCCCTAAATACTCTACTGATGCTCTCCCTAAATACTCTACTGATGCTCTCCCTGAATACTCTACTGATGCTCTCCCTAAATACTCTACTGATTGACTCCCTAAATACTCTACTGATTGACTCCCTAAATACTCTACTGATTCTCTCCCTGAATAGTCTACTGATGCTTTCCCTGAATACTCTACTGATGCTCTCCCTGAATAGTCTACTGATTCTCTCCCTAAATACTCTACCGATGCTCTCCCTGAATAGTCTACTGATTCTCTCCCTGAATACTCTACTGATGCTCTCCCTGAATAGTCTACTGATGCTCTCCCTGAATAGTCTACTGATGCTCTCCCTGAATAGTCTACTGATTCTCTCCCTGAATAGTCTACTGATGCTTTCCCTGAATACTCTACTGATGCTCTCCCTGAATAGTCTACTGATTCTCTCCCTAAATACTCTACTGATGCTCTCCCTAAATACTCTACTGATGCTCTCCCTGAATACTCTACTGATGCTCTCCCTGAATAGTCT